ATGTTCCACTGAACTTCATGTGCAGTTGCAGCTCTGAACTGCTGCAGGCAACGGTCTGACAATACAGCTAATAACCAAATGCTTGCTCTTTTTCTGTTCTGAGTGATCTTTAACTACTGAGCTTGAACAACGTACAGAAGCATCCCTGCATGGTTCAGATATGGAGAGGACAGTAACTGATCCCAAGAGGGGTGGTTTTCTTGGGGATGACTGGAGGCTGGTAGTAATATTGAAGGGATAAGTCACTTCTCTTGCTCGTTTTTCCTTCTGTAAAACATAAAAGCACCTTAAAATAATGATATGCATCTTATATTTCAGCATCTCTGGTGCATCATACTGTTAAAAATTAAATTCCTTCCTTCCAGGCAGTATTCTTGATAGCTGTGTAACTGTTATCAGATATGGTGGAATAGGTGACCTGGTTGATGGTAGAATATTAAAGGACGATCGGAGCTTATATCCTATTTCTGCTGATTTTGAACTCTAGCTTAGCACTTAAGCTTTTGTGGTTTCAAACTGCATTTCAGCTAAATGAGAGTTTGGTATGTAATAGCTGACTGTTAGTTTATTACCAAAGGTAACTCGAGGAGACAAAGATCTGAAAATCCACTGTGAGGTGGTAGAATATTGTATGTGTCTGCCACAGTCCAATAGCTAACCTGTGCTCTAAAACATATGGGCATCTTGTTGTATCTCATGGAAAAAGAAGTGACCTGGGAAAGGAAAAATAAACAGTGAGTAACTTTTGCTGAAAACATTCTGTAGGCCAGTGCAAAAACTATTGGGGAAGCAGCTAATTCTGGCTTTCAAAGGCAAATTAAGAATAGACAGAGGAATCTAGAATTCGTTGCTTCTACTTTGATTTTAGGTGTACTGAATTTCAGTGTACACCAGAGTCCAGTCAGCACAATGGCTTAACAAGTTAGCCAAGGCTGCGAGTTCCTGTTTTAGAGCAGCATGTGCTTGGTTTGTTAATAGGCTGCATGTTTCCTTAGGTAACTTGAATTACGTTAGCACAACGTAAACTCTGATATAACAGATTCCTGCTTAAATTCTGTAGTACCGTGTAGTACTTTTAGTAAGCACTAAAACCCAATTTTGATGCTCTTGTGTTTGTGTGTATCTCCATGGTTTCTTTCTTTTCTCAGAATCCAACAGGCTAAAGTACAAATCCTTCCTGAGCGAGTGCTGCCTTCAGCAATGGCAGCAGTACAGCTGCAGTCTCTCAGCCGACGTCACGTATTTCCTTCTTCAAAACCCACAGCGTGGCAGGATCGAGCTTTCCGTCAGTGGTGGCAGAAGTATCAGAAGGTTGGAAGCAAATTGTTTGTTTCTCATTACTGGTTTTCGTGGTATTGAATTCCATCTGTTTGTCTTCAGAGGCGGATGCACAGCTGGGATGCTGGATAGCAAGCTCCTGTTTTTTGTGTGTTCTTTTTTTAATTACAGACTGTGATTATTTATCAGCTAACCACAGTAGGGAAATGCATGCTGTATATGAGTTTCCTTTGTTTACTATTTTATACATGAACACGTCAGAGATGATGCTAATTGCTAAAGCTTATAGAAGCATTGGTAGAAAAAGCAGCAAGTGTTCTTTGTTTGTAGGTAGATCAGAAAAACATCCTGACTTTAAGTAGCCTGACAGTTTTCTCCATCGGTTCTGTTGTGACAAAACCTCCTCTGGAATTTCTAACTAGCCCTGTTGTTCGTAACACATTGGTTTTCCTCTTTAAAAATATATTTTTGAATTTGTCTTTGTCAGCTTAAGATACTTGAAATTGCTCATTAATCTCTTTCTTTCATTTTATATATTTATTCATTTGTACGAATTGATACGAAGTGCTTTCATCACCTTACATAGGATCAGTAATTGCTGTGGTTGCTGAGACATCAATCACTGATGGAGAAACGAGATGCTTTACCTAATTGCACTTACATTTTTGAACCATCTAGATTTCAGATATTCTTCTGAAAGGCAATAATTCCTTATTACTAAGTAGTAAAAGTGCTTACAATGCTGAGACAGATTTTCTGAGAAAGTCCAGGTCTTGTCTATCTTGCACAAAAGTTGTAGCACGCAGTGCATTTAGAGCTTCAGAAGCCTCATGAAATATTGGCAGTGATGGTGATGATTTGTTGTGTCCTTAAATAACCAGATGTCTGGTTTACACAAACAAAAGAGAGACACACATTGGTAAGATCTGCTAATATTAAATAAAAATTGTTTCTGATTTGGATTTCAGAGGAAGTTTTACTGTGCCAGTCTGACGTCTTGGCCTCCCTGGCTTTACTCTCTGTATGATGCTGTAAGTATTACCAAACAATATATATTTTGTTTTTTGTATCTGTTTACTGGATGATAGTTAGTTTTATTTTGTTGTCTCATAAGTGTATTTTAAGAAGGGTACAGCTGGTAGTTTACTGGGAAGAGTTGTAAAGGCTTCCCCTCTGTATGGTTGGTCCCTGGTGCTATGAGTGTGCATCTGCCATGCATGACTGAGGTTCAGGTTCCTGCTGTGTTGTCTTGGAGCAGAAAACTCAATCTTCTGTCCCACGTGCTCCACGTGAGTGTCCTAACCAGCACAGCACTTGATAGTCTCAGGTGGGTCTTTCCTGTTGGAGTCAGTTTACTTTTCAAAAAACTTGTATTTTTTTTCATATACTTAGGTGGAAAGGTGTATTTAATACATAAAGGGTCAGAGATGGAGGAGGCTAATTCTGCTTAGCCCATATCTATACGTGTCTAGAGTTTAAATAGTTATCTGCTTACGTCAAATGAGATTTAGAACTGTCGTGGGTTGTTTTTTGCCCATTTCCCATCTTGTTTTGTTTTTAGCTTAAGACATGGAGGTATGAAGTGTCTGTAGTTAGCATTTAAGACAGGAATTGTATCATGTCCACTAGGGAAAATAGTTTCCTGTACATTTTGCTTCTTTTTCCTAAGAGAACAGAAATACCTATGTCCTTATATTAGGCTTTTTTTCCTAACAAAAGGAAACCTTGATGGAAAGAGTCAAGAGGCAGCTACACGAATGGGATGAAAATCTTAAAGATGAGTCTCTTCCAACAAACCCGATAGGTATGATCTTCAGCTTATGAACTGAAAGTAGAATTAGGAAAAAGAAATCCTAACACCTAAGAGTGTGAGAATTACTTTCTATTGACAGTCCATTTCTGACTTCTGAAGTTTCACTTCAGTTGAGGAAATACTGGTAGCTGATGTTGTCATTAGCTTTGACAAGAACTCATAAAGAAATGAACATCCTCCAGTTGTTCTAAAACACTTTTAGTAAAAGAAATAAAACTCTCTTGTGCTCCTTATGGAGGGAATGTGATTTAAATGATTCATAAGAAAATGAGCCAAAAGCATATGAGATTGTTCAAGTTTTCTGCAGGTGTCTGGATGTACAGAGATGAGCTCTGAAAGTCCATTATGAAGCTACGTTTTAGCTCTCGGTCTGTAACTGAGTAGAACAGGCAGGTTTATTTCTTTCTGAAATTCTAACAGGCCTGCTACTTTCTCATTTCTAGATTTTTCTTACAGAGTTGCTGCTTGCCTGCCAATTGATGATGCCTTACGCATACAGTTGCTTAAAATAGGTAGTGCTATTCAGCGACTGCGGTGTGAATTAGATATTATGAACAAAGTGAGTACTGTTATACCTGTTATTTACTTTAAAATTCTTCTTCTCACCACCATAAAAAAAGAAAGCAACTTATCATCTCCTGTAACAAATAATACTTCTGGGCAGCGAGCCTGGGAGTTTTTATTTTTCCTTTGCCTTGAGAAGTTGGCTCAAGGAAGAAACTGATGTTCATTCTAGACTTATTTTGCAGCAAGAACCCTATTTGTTTTTGTTAGAAATCATATTTCAACACCGTGCTGCAGTGCCTTCTCCAAGAGATGGTGCTGTAAGTCCAGTGTTGCTGTTCCCAAACTTCTGAACATCAGGACCCCATATTGCCAGCACAGTGTACTGCAGTGAAGCAGTGTTGTGCTGTGAAGACTTCTTTTCAAAGATGTTTTAAAACAAGTGATCTTGTTTTCTTGCCACTCATGGCCATATAATGCATATAACATAGGCCACGTCATTTCATTTTTACGTGGTACGTCGCTTAATAATGTAACTCTTGTTTTATAATGCAAGTATTGGACCTCATGTTGAATCCATGTTTCAGTATTTCCAATAGCAGTTCAGATTGCCACTCGTGTTCCAAAGAGCAAACACTGAAAGAGTCACCAATATAGATAACATTGGTGGGGTGGTTGGTAGTGAGAATGTTCACTGTTGAATTTCTGGCTAGAGAGACCAAGTTTGGGTGACACATTCATCACAATGCACCTCCTGAAACGTGGTAACAAAGCCTTCTGCTGAGCTGATTAAAATGGTTCTTTTCTTGGCAGCATTAGTGATAAATTGTTTGGTTCTGCTTTATAAATATCGTAGGAGATAAATTACCCTGTCATCATAATGAAGAAAAAGGTCAATGTAGCATAGGTATTTATCTTGATTAATTTGAGACAATTGATCTACGGTGTTCTCAAATTTTAGAAAAACTTTAATGATTACATTTGTATTCATTCTACCTTTTCTGTGTTGTATCTCAGGTAACAAAGTTGGGTTTTTTTGTTTCTAAAGTAGCTTTCAAGGATCGTAGCAATTTGACTCTTATTGCTTACTCGGGTTTTTTAAGATTAAAAAAAGTGTATAGATTTTTAAGAATTAATCTTAATGATTGCCACGAGTAAGTAAAATGCATGCAAATTGTTATCCTTTGATAGAAAGAGTAAAACATAAGTGAGTGCTGCCCAGATAAACAGAGGAATCAGTACAAAGTTTGTTCTGAGAGAACAGAAGAGAAATGTTGTTATTTGCCCCTGTGCTGCCAAGTAACTGGAAATGAATGAAGTTATCCTCTTTTTTCTTGTTTCTCTTCTTCAAGTGTACATCTCTCTGTTGTAAGCAATGCCAAGACACAGAAATAACAACCAAGAATGAAATATTCAGGTGAGTTTATTGCTCCTAATCAATTAAAGCACATGATAGAGACTCGGGTTTTGAGGGCAACGTGATGATAACCCCCTTAAATGGGGTGGATCCCATAACAACGTCCTATCAGCTGCTCTCTAATAACTCATTACCTTTAACAAACAGCTGGGCAAGGTGCAGCTGAACATGAGAATATTGTAATCCTTACTTGGGCAATGAATGTCTGAACACCTTTTCTCAAACTCTGACAGAATTTTTAACTGTGTTTTACAGTTTATCCTTATGTGGACCCATGGCAGCGTATGTGAATCCTCATGGTTACATCCATGAAACCCTTACTGTATATAAAGCCTGCAATTTGAATCTCAGTGGACGACCATCAACAGAACACAGCTGGTTTCCTGGGTAATACTGTTCAGCTATTAGTAACAGTCATAAATTTGGTTGCAAATTTTCCTATTCCACTATGGCAAACACAGTGCATAAGCGCAGTTACTCTACTGAGGGTTTTTTGTTGGTTTTTATTTTTAAGACCTGAACTGAATGAATGTTACAGTATTTTATACTGACTCTGTCTTAATCAGATTACCACTGAAGCACTGATTACCACTGAATCTTTAAATGGTCTTGCTGTCTGGAAAAATGGCCAAATTAATTGTCAAGATGTAACAATCTGCCTAATATAATAGTCTTGTGCCAAAATGCCATTTGTTGCTTTAGATAAGCACACTTCAGGCATACATTCAAACCTTTAAATACTTTACCTCTTAACAAGAGCAGAAATGTGAAATTGTGTTTGAATTACAGTTTCACAAAACCATTCTTTATAGCTGTGTGTTTTTTTTTTACCAAATCACTTATCTGTGTGGTCCTTTCTGTGACATACTATCAGAAATCATTCTTCTATCCCGAATGCTTTAAGAACTTTCTCTCCTTGAAGGTTTTGGTTTGTTTGGTTTTTTTTTTGACAGGTACGCCTGGACTATAGCACAGTGCAGAATCTGTGGGAACCATATGGGCTGGAAGTTCACAGCTACCAAAAAGGATATGTCACCACAGAAATTCTGGGGATTGACACGGTCTGCTCTCCTGCCTCGGATTCCAGAAGCAGAGGACGAGTTGGGCCATGACAGATCTCCATTACTCTGCCTGTAATCCAGTCCCCTGCTTTGGAGATGAACAGGGAGTACTCTGTCTCTTAGATACATCCGCTTAGTTCTGCTTTTGATGCTCACTTAAAAACCAACAAAACAAGAACTCGCAGCCCAGAACGCTTTGCCTTCAGTGTGCAGCACGTTACGTTGTTTCAGACACGCTGAGGACTGAAGGTTGATTCTTAAGAATGACAGCTGTGGAGAGAAGGTGGCACGAGACGCCAGGAAATGAGTTCATTTGGACAGACTTGACTCTGAACTTTCTACTTCCTCTGAACTTTCATTTCAGGAAATGTTTGCTGCTATCAGCCTGCAGTGAAAGAAATAGAGTATAATTATGCAACGTATGATGTTAGATACTAGTATCTCATTGCAGGATATTTCCCTTACTTAAAATGTGTTTACGATGATGACTCCTGTTTCTAACTATGTGGAATACTTGCAATTTTAGTCTCGTGATGTTCATGAAATATTTGCTGAATAACCATCAAAGAGAGTACAAGACTGAAGGATTCTGTGTTGGTGATGTCAGTAGCAGTGGTGTAAATGGCAGAGCTGACTGCTGGGTGCAGCTAGAACAAGCATGCCAGAAAATTCCCTTTGAAACGAGCTTATATAAAGTATTTGTTCCTTAGAAGTTCTCTGGTGCATTGAGCATTTCTGACTTGTCTTTTAAATCTTAAATTATTTATACAGAATACACCGATCAGTTCCAGAAGATGAAACACACATTGTCATTTACCGTGGTTTATTTTACTTTTGAATGTAATTTTTGTATTTTTCAAAACAATTTCAGTGGGAGATCAGCTTACAGGAACGCGTGTCTATGATCCCCTGAAGTATTCTCCAATCTACCTAACTGGAGATTTTTCTCTAATATGTATTTTGAGAAGAGATTCAGCTAATCTTTTTTTTTCCTTCAGCTTTAGTATCATAAGGTAAAACTCTACATTATCACCTTACCTTGAAGAAACAAACTAACAGTGTTTTTCTCGTCCCACTCTTTTTCAGTTTGTTTCCTGAAATTCTGTCTGTGCTGCAGAAATGGATGCCAAAAGAGGGCAGCTTTTGCTACTGCTTGGTTGTTTTTTTTTCCCTTCAGAACAAATGCAGAATCTGAAGACAGCAAGATTTCATCAGTTTGTGAGTGTACATAGACACCTTTTTTTTTCTTGAAGCTATTGCATTCACTGTTTCTTCTGTGTACATTTTCAAGAACTTGCGTTGTTAAATACTGTGAGAATACTGCTTAAGGTTGAAGATGTAACCCAGTAATTGTTCTTTCCCAGTCGCATCAGACATGTAGCATGGACAGATTACTGCATTGAGAGGCCAAGGTCAGGCCTCTGCAAGGCAAGTGTGATCTGATCTCGTCTAAGTAGTACTTGTGACAGCAGAGCTTAGGGAAAATCCAGATGGGAAGATGCCAGATGCTGAAAGGCTGTTAGGATATTATGCTACGTATGTAGAAACTAATGGATGTGTAACTCAGGTTTCGTTCTTTGAAGCCTTCTACCTCTGTGCTTCTGTAATAACTTTGGTTTTCTCCATAGACACCTTTAATACCATCTTCAATTGTCTGTGCAGTACTCTGACTTGCCAGTGAACTATGAAAAGCAATAATTCTTTGAATAGAATTCTGAGCAAATAGAGGGTGAATGCGCTCATTTTCTTATAGAAACCATTGTGTTTATGTAATAAGCTTTCAGAAGACTAAAATAAGGAGTAGTATGTGAGACTGAAATCTGTGCACCTAGATAACCACTAGAATCACACTTAGCTTCCCCCTCACTCCCTGCATTCACACAGAGCCACCCGTGGCTTAGCTGTAGGCTTGGATTGCTTTTTCCCCTCTGAGATACTCAAGTATCTCTGCTGCCATTTGCTTTCAGTAAGTGAGGCTTTCAGGATGATCATTTCCTCAGCTCTCCCTGGACTTCACAAGGTGTTTTGGGTTTTGGCTGAGTCTTTCAGATGGTCTGAATTAAAAATGGCATTATGTTCACAGTGCTTAAATACAAAATGGGCATATTTTTGGTATTGTATGTATATATATATATTTATATACACACAGTCAAGTGTAGCTAATATTACCAAGTGAGACAACTCACAAGTAAATTAGCACTAACTTTATCTTAGTATTGATGATTTTTCATCAGCCCAACCTTGTGTGAATTGTTTCCCATTTGTAAGCCTATGACTGCTGGCTGAAAACAAGCATAATTCAGCTTGCTGTAAAACTGGGGGATCCTGTCATGGTGAAGCTGGCAGTTAAAGTGCTACAAAATGCACAGCCAGCATGTGACTTCCAACGTGGATGTAGAATCATGGGAGGCTCAATACGTTGATGAATGCTCTCTATGCTTTTATCTTTTTTTTTTTGAGAAAAAACTACTAGAATGTTGGGATTGTGGAAATTTATTACTGGCAAATACAGCCCTCATGAGCTTTTGAGAGTTAAGTGCAAAGAAAATCAGCACATCTTACAGCAGTAGCTACATTTACTACATTCAGTGGCTGGCACGTGGCTTCATGCTGTAATTAATCCAACTGATGTGCTGGCTGCTGCCAGGAGAGTTTTTCTCCCACTGTAATTTCGCTTATTATGGGAGAGCTGGGAATTACACAGCCATGGGATGGGCGTGCTGGTAGCACAGCCGTGGCCTTGCTGGGTCTGGTGAAAGGATTAAAGGTATTTTGGGGTGGGGGAACCCACAGGGGGGTTGCCCTGTTGTAGTATTGCTGCAATCACATAACAGTGTCATACAATCAGAGCCTGTAATATTGCAAGCTTTCCTATAGCTTAGTTTTGATGACTGCATAGAATGATAACAGGATACTTGCACACTTGTTCTAAGAAGTTCTAGCTGTTCTTTTTTTTAACAATAATGCTATTTTTGTATGCGCTGCAATTCATTTTGTTCCTTTTGTAGTCGATCACCTTTACTTGCTTTGTACAAGCTCTGGAAGGTGTAGCACATTCTCTGCTTTCACTCTTCCTCTGTCTGCCTTCTGGGACAAGTTTTCAGGAAAATCTCGTTGCTTGCAAACATTTGCAAAGAATAAAATTAAATTTGTTTCAAATTGGTCTTAGCGGATGCGGTTTCTGCTGACTGTTGGAAGAAAGAAAATGTCTGGTTTAACACTGCTCAGGTTTTAAACCACAGTGCTTTCAGAAAATGATGGTAAGGCAGGTTAAGAGCGATGATGGGCCACTGGCTGCCAGTGGGACCCAGCCCTGTGAGCCGAGGCGTCCGCTCAGGCTGGGGGTGAAGCCTGTTGATTACAATGGGGATTGCTGTAGAGCTTCTGCACAAAGGCAGGGGCAGCTGCCTGGGGACCTGTCTCCACAGGCCTCGTATTTCTTTTGCTATAGCTTCATCTGAAGGTACAGTGACTAAATGGGGCTATAGGATGGCAGTTCAGGCTGTACGCAGGTAGTGGAGCATGCTGAATTGAATTCCAGACTCGTGGAGAGCTATTGTCTTATCAGGTTATGAAGAAATTATCTGAAATGTCAAAGCTTTAAATCCTCATCCCATTGCACAGCTCAGCAATGAGGATTGCTGTTAGTCATGCTGCCACCATTCTGTGTTAAATAGCAACCTGTTGAAGCTGGGAGAATCTTTTAAGGGCCAAAAAGGAGTGATTTCCTTACCACAATATTCCGTGGGATTTGCTGATTTATTTTAGTTTGGAAGAATGTTCAACTAGCTGAAAAAGCCCTGACATAAGACTAGGTGAGACCTATAGATGTTATCTGCAGCTTAGTAGCATTTGTAGAGAAATGATAAAGGGGTCACACATGGGATATGTGCTCCTGCATGCTGAATCTTAGAGTGCTTTTCTGGACCTGGTAGATGTTGCTTTCAGTGCTGTGAGGCTAAATTTAAAAGCTTGAGCTGAGTCTGAATACTGAGGCACCCATCTCCATGCAGTTTGTGTTTTCCTCTATGCTCTTGTTTCTCCCTACCCAACAGTACCTCTGTTACAGTACGTGAGGAGAAGAAGGCTAGTATTGCCATCAAAAAACAATTAGAGCCCTAATTCCTCAAGAGTCTAATTCAAATTAGTAAGCCATTTGTGTCTCTGCAACATGGCAAAGTAACAGAATAAGAATCCTGCTTTTAAGTGTAGCCCATGTTCCCATGTATACTTATTTATTGTGCAAGCTGTAAATACAGCACTGCACTTTCCCCAGGGTGAACGGTGAAAAGGGCTGAGTTGTAAACTTAACAGTTAACAGAGCATGCCACAATTCATAGGTGTACAGAAAACAGTTTCCAGAGATGAATGTATACTGGAGATGAGAACCCACTGCATTCGTGCCTGGAAACCCAGTGCAGCCCTTGGCCCAGTCCACCGTGGTGAGCAGAGAAACAGAAAGAAAGTGTACTTACCACAGGCTGCTAAGAGATCACTGTAGAGTTTTTCAGGGCTCCAAGTGGAGCCATTGCTCCTCAGTGTGTTTATAAATGCTCTGGAGGCAAAGCTGAGAAGCATGCTAACAGTTTGCAGCTGAGTCAGGGGAAATGAGGAACAGCTGTTGTCTCTCCCCAGGTCACCACGCCAGTGTTCAAGCAGTTTGGGTAAGAACCAACCTCCCTTCCTTCCTCCTTCCTGTCCCATTTCTCTTGAATCCCATGTTACAGAACATGCTTTACACACATTCCCACCTGCAGTATGATAGCACAAAATGTTTTCTCCTTTATTGTTACCTTTTACGCTTTCTTCACACAACTTAACAACTCTTCTTTATCCATGCAGTACCCACTCTTCTTCCATTCCTCCCGTAACTGCTGCAGTGCTGAGCCAATTTCTTTCCCACAAGTTATGCCCATTTTCCGCAGATCATGGCCACTGACAGGAAAAGTAGGAACAGTCCACTGCTGCATTTCTTTTAAAAGCTGCTCTTCTCCCTGGTACTTCAGCAGTTCTAATATTTTGGAAATCGTATTTGCTTCCCTAGACTGAAAAAAAAAGAGGATGTATTAGGAGAAACTAGATAACAATCCGAACTCTGAACATCTGTACCTCTCTCTCATTAGTTTTAAAACTCAGCCTGGGACTGGAGAGTCCAGCAAATGCTTGAAAACTTCATGAACTTCGTTTAGTAGCTTTTTAACCATTATCTTTAACCTGCTGCTGGAGAGGGATTCACACTTTCCCTGTGGGAGGAAGTCCTCTCTGCTGACACTGACCTCTTTCTCCTCAGTTACTGCAATAAAAGTGCAGAACTTCACTTTCAGATTACTTGAAATTCACTCTGGAAGATGTTGTGTGTTTAACAGTACTTGGTGAAGAACACAAAGCACTGTTCCAGGCACTATGCAGACTCTGAATACGCAACTGAAGGATTTGAATTTCACATGAAATCCTTTGAGGTCCAGATCCTGTCTCATGCTTTAATGCAGTAGGAGAACTCAGTGGAGCCAGTACAGCAAACCCTCAGTCCCCAGCTGTGTTCAGAGGCCACACTTTCAGCTGACCCTGTCCATCCTGACTGGTTTTTAAGTCTAGTAAAAACGTTGCTAGAGAACGCAAGCTGCTTGGATCAGCTAAGATTGGTTTTCAGTTTTAATATCTATTTTTAAAAATTTACTTCAGTCAAACAACAGAAGCTAAGAAACTGTTTGTCTCTTTGTAAAACTAAACTCCGCTAAAGAACAGACATTTCTGTTGCTGCAAAAACAGGACATTGCAAAAACACTTGTCTATTTCTGCTCTCCTCTCTAGATTCAAAGCAAATGGAAAAAGCCCCCAAAACTTTAATTTATTGGATCTATTATTGTTAATATTGGATGATATTCCTGCAGTTAATGTAGTGATACTGCACTGGAAGCAGTCTAACTGTGGCTACCAGTTCTTGTCAATACAGCTCATCTTCCTAATGCAAACATCACCATCTTGACAATCCTGGCGCCATGCACAGTGGAAGGGCTGCTCATCTTGTAAGGCCCATGGCTCTCTTTGGCACTCTGTACAACTGGAAACTCGTGGTTTACTCGAGAAGCCAAGTGCAGCAATATCAAGTACACTTACATCCATTATGAAGTCTTGATATGGTTTCAGTGGTTCTGGCCCCGTCGCTTTAGTTAACTCCTCACGGTGTTTCAGCAGAAAGAAGCCAAGGTTCTTCTCCTCTTTTGAGATTTTCAGCCTCAAATCAAGGTTTGTTACATCATCCTTCACCTTGAACAATGACGTCAGAACAGTCATGGGTTTTGGACACAAATTTTCAGTATTTTTACTGACTCTGTCAAGTTCCTCCAGATTTCCATTACCTGGTAAACCTGAAGAGAAAAAGTTCAATAAGGCGTTAACAAGAAACAGGGACATTAACAAAGGTAAAAACAAACAAGTTTCATCTCCTTTGCCGTGCTGCAATTGCTTGATTTCCAATTCCTGTAACATTTACAGTCATCTAACTTTACCTATGTATTGAGCGACGTCCAGCTCATACAGAAGTCGAACCAAATGATTTACGTGGTTTCCAATTAGAATTTTTTTCAGTTCCACCCAAATCCTTTCTCCTGATATCCCAGCCAAACCTTTGGCATTTTCTTTAATTGCTTGCAGGGTGCTCGATTCGTGATCGCCAGGTTTTTCTGCAATCCTCCCATAAAACCTGCCCAAAGAAAACAGCTCCATGTTAATTTTGCCAATCATTTCTTATTGCTACTCACAGAATTAAGTCATGGCAAATGCTGATTACATTAAAATAGTGGAGGACAAAAACATTATAGTTTCTGAAATCTCTGCAACATTTTTCTGCCATGAAGCTTAAAGCTCCTGCCTGCTCTTTCAATTTCACCAAGAGTATAAAAGAGAAAACTGCAGAGAGATTATATGAGATTATATGAGGTGCAGAAGTTCAGTGCCAAAAAAAAAAGGCACAAGGTAGGTTACGTTGTTACACTGTCCAAAGCAAATAGATCAATCCTGATCAGATTTACTCTCCTCCCCCTCTCCCAGACTGCACGAAGCTTCAGGGCAAAGTAACTGCACTTCTGTTGGTTACAGATGGACATCAATAAACTTATTACTTTGTTTTAAACTAGAGTTGAAACAGTACTGTTACAAAGACTGTTTGCAAAGGACAGCGTATTTCTTGCTCGCATAGAGAAAACAGAAGCCAAAAATATGCTTCTCTCATCATTTTGTGAGGAAAAAACATTGTCTGAATTTTGGTTCACAACCTTCTCCATGGAACTCCATTTCTGTGTCTCCAATGAGTCATCAGAAGTACTTATTTATACCATCTCTTCATCCAGACAAGGTGAAAGCTGGTACCTGAAATATCTTAGGATTCGTAAATAATCTTCTTGTATTCTTGCGCTTGCCTTTCCCACAAATCTTATTTTCTTGTTCTTTAAGTCTTCATATCCATTAAAGAAATCATACAGCATCCCATCCAAGCCTAGAAGATGAAAAAACATCAACAGGAATTTAGAAACACTCTTATTTGAAAATGCAGAGGACAAATGGTGTCACTTGCTGTGAGTTGCCATATCTGTGCAGACCTTTTGGCTGACAGCAGTATAAACCAACAGAACGCAAAAAGGAGAGGGAAAATTTACTGGCGTGATTTGAAAAGTGGTGTTTGATCTACGTATTTTCTTTTGCATAGTTTTACCTAAAAACATGGAATTGATGGTCAGATCCCTCCTTTCAGCATCCTTTTCCCAGTCGGTGGTGAATTCCACCTCTGCGTGGCGTCCATCGGTGACAATATCTATTCTGAGAGTGGTAATTTCAAAATTCTGTTCATGGAGCTGAAAATCCCACAGAGATCGTTATTTCAACGTGGATACAGATACAAAGGCTATCTATTTTCCTGCCCCACGTTGGTTTGCATGTAGGCAGCTTGAGCACAAACTGTACGCAAACACACGCTGTGCTTCCACACGGAGCTGACACTGAAACTCACAGATGCCTCAGAACAGAGCTCATTTCCACATAAACCGTCTGCAGGAAGGTGCCTGCAGGCTAAAAGCAAAGGAACGTGCAGACAGAGGAAGGCAGGACCCGAGAAAGCAGGAGGCTTCCCCACCTGCTACGGACTGTAAGAGAAAACCCACAGCCCGACCGCGAACCAACCCTGGCCGTGATGGTTCCGTGTTTTTCTCCTTTGTTATTGATCAGCCGAACCCCAGCAGACGTGAACATCTCCTTCATCTCTTCGGGTGTAGCCGTAGTGGCGAAATCCACATCTTGAGGCGTCATTCCGCTCAGCAAATCCCTCACGGCCCCTCCCGCGATTCTCAGCTCGTAGTTCTTCTTCTCAAACAATTCTGACAAGGAGAAAAAAACAGTCGAGAACAGAAACGGAGCTGCCCCAGCCCCCACCTGTGAGGGACCCGGAGCCGCCACAGCCCCCACCTGTGAGGGACCCGGAGCCGCCACAGCCCCTCCCGTGAGGCCCCGCCCGGCCCTCACCTGCCACACTGCGCAGCCCCGGTGTGAAGAGCGCCTGGAACTGCGGGGATTGCAGCCTCATGGCGCGCGCCGCGCGGTGCCGCAGCCGAAGAGGCGGAAGCAGCCGAGCCCTGCAGGGCAGAAGCAACACCTCAGCCCACATCTGGGGAGAAACAGAGAAACGCCGCGTCAGCCCGCGGGCCCGAGCAACGGGGAGAGGCCCCTCGCAGGAGCGTCGCACTCACCCGCCAGCTGCCGGCCTCGCTAGGCCCGGGGAGCGGCTCCGTGCGGCCCCGGCGCGGCGCAGCGCGATGAGATCAGCGGCGCGACCCGGCCACGCCCCCCGCCCTCCCCCTTAGTCTGCTCGCGGGCGCCCCCTGCCGGCCGATCCGCGCATCGCTGCTCACCCTCCGCCTCGCTCCGTAACCGCGGTCCCGCAGTAGCGCCCCGCGCTGCGCTGTTTGTTTCTCAGCCCCGTCCCACGGCGGTGCGGAAGCACGCGTCAGTACGGTGTGCAGAGAACAACCGCCGCCGTCCCATCCCCACCGTGCCCGTGTTCCTCGGGAAACAGCTCTAAACACCTCCACGTGTTGTGAAACCTTCAGGGTCCATCCGTGCGCTGGTTGCGAGGTCCCGTCAGCGATCCTGAAACAGCTTTAAGCGCTGTGGCTGCTGAACTGCGTGCAGGAGCAGCTCCTGAGTTCGTTCAGCTTTTAACGTGTGGAAACATTTGGGTGGGAGCCCTGTGCCAAATCCCAGGCCCAGCTGGGGGTGCCCGTCTGCTCTCCACGCCGTGCCGTCACGCTGCTGGTTCCATGTGTGAGATTTGCAGAGCGGTGCTACAGAGCTGCTCAAACACACCGCTTGGTTGCCTTTGAAGTTCCAAGCCGGAATAAATCTGTCTCGGCCAAAAATGCTTTGTACCTGAAAAGAGATGTTATACAGATCTGTTCAGCCTTTCAAGCACCCAACAGATCAGCACTTCGCTGCAGAAAGGAGAGTGCTTGTGAGCACAAAAGGGTTTTGGGGAATGACCTATTGCCAAAAACATCTCACATTTACAATAATTTTGTCAGGCTTGTGTAAGAACATAAGAACATAACCTTTTCTTACGTGTTCTTTTTGTGACTGCTTCTTTTGTTAAATATCCTGCCTCACCTTTAGAAACAACCTCTTTTCTGCTGTAACGCCGAGCTGCAGCTGTCAGAGCTCCCTGCTCAACAGTTAGCTGTTTATTCAGGAGTGCACAGATACAGAAAACAGGGCACCTCATGTATCTCTGTGCCTCCTGGCAGGATTTCCTTACAACTCTCATTCCTGGCTGACTTTGTCTAAAGGTGCCCAGCCATCGTTTCCTCTGCCCCCCCAGCACTGAACGTGTTCCCTTTGTACCTAACCTGATTTTTACCTGTCATTACCTTTTATTTCTAGCTCCCCACTGCAATGGACTTGCAAACAGGTGAAAGCCTTCATTTGTGCTCTAAGATTGCACCTCTGCATGGGCATTCCCCTAATTTGTTTTGAGTGGTTCTGGTTTTTGTAGCATCCATCACTGTACACTGACCTCCCATTGTTTGCTCCATTTCTTTCTCCAGTGCAGCATCTGCACAGGGCAGTGCATTGAGTGGAGGCTTTATCAGTGCTGAGCAGAGCAGAAAGTTTGCTTCATGTGTCTCGCAGAGGATGCCAGCTTCCAGCTGCCCCAGCATGCCTTTTTCACAAGTGCACAACAGTTGTTGAGTCCTCTGTGGTTTATGACCTGGCATAACCCCAGATCCTTTTCTGTAGAGCAGATACCTAATCACAAGTTGATTACTAATAGCCTGTAATTTGCAGTTAATAGCACCTAAATGTAGTTGAGAGCTTGACCGTGCTGAACTGTGCCCAATTTTCACTGATTTTTGAAGAACTTGCTTAAATCGAGTTCTAGTCCCCAAAGAACTCACCTCTACCAGCTTGCATCACCTTCACATTTAGAAGGGTTTTCTGTATTTGCAATCCAGATTTCTAATGAACATGTCATTAGCCCTCCCATACCTACCTAGGCCTATTACGAACAGACTCACTTTCTGCTTTCTCTGTGCCCTTAGGTTGTTTTCCACTCCTTTTGAGCCAGTCTTATCCAGCCTTCCTATGGATCACAGCTCAGAGCTCTCTGCCCAAGATTGGGAAGCTGGTCTTGTTCTGGTGCCAGTAATTTCTCTAAATACCACCGACAGACACATGGCTGTATGGCAGGATGACTGGACAAGGTAATACCGCACGGTCTTCCAGCAATACTAGGATTTGATTTTCTAGGGGATGAACAACTTGGGATGATGGCACTGGTCAGCAAGTAGATTCTTTGCAGTGAGTTTTTAAACATTCCTGGCTCTTCAGAATTTAGTCGAGAATGATCAGACTGCAGACTATGGTGTAGAACTAACCCTCGATACATAAAGTAAAACCACGTGCTAGAACAGAGCCTTCCATCCTGTGGTTAAATCTGCAGTTCCCTTTTACAATGCATGCTTGTCTAACTTACCATCTCCTATCATTTCTGAAGTACCTATCACATCTGTGCTTAAAAGACAGCAGTTGCAAAAGGAACCCGCAGGGAGACGACCCAGAAGACGTTTGAACAAACAGAGGAGGCTCTTCACACAACTTCAGAGACTCTGCAGGTAACCTCCTGGGATTTACATTGCAGTCTGTTTTTCTGTCTTTCTGTGCTTTGTTTGAAGATTGGCCCCACTTTGAAAAGTCATCTTTGCATTATGGTGGGAAGTGCATCTGGAATCTGCTCCTGACCAATTGCCTCTCAGTAGAACTCGTGTGTCAGTTGTAAGAAAGAAAATCATGACCAATTCAGCTGCTCACTGTGTTTAGATTTATACTGCACTTTATGAAGGAATAGACCCTTCCATGAAGGGAATGCATCTTTGACTTTCTCCTCACTGCTTTTTACTGCGCATAACCAAAACCATAAACAAGGCTTTTACTCATCCCGAGAACTTGCTATGCCCGTTTTTGTGGGGAGCATAATCTTGTTCGTAGGTATTTGTTAACTTTTTGATTGTATTTTCAAGATTTCATTGCATGAGACAAACCTGTTATCACAGACTGTGTGATACTGTTCACGAATGGTAATGCAATTGGAAAAAATCTTGGGGCATTGTCTAAGCAAAAATGTATGGTATAGGTAACAGTGCCCTGTTTCATGTGTATTGTGGAAGAACCAAAATATCTGACCAAAATGTCTCAGTAACCCAACCTATGCAAAAGCAAGCACTGACTCTCCAGGAATAATCCATTAGAAAACTCTAGAGGTTCAATTAGCCTCATGGACGCTTTGCCTGGCAGAATACCAGATACACACAGAAAACAAATGCAGATAATGAGCAGACTTGGACATTAAGAAACATACTGCATTGTGAATTATGCATCATTTTAACGAACTAAGCGCTCATACACCATTTTTAAAAATAGTTATTGTGTAGCAGAAGTACTCCAACTGTGATCAATTGGATTGCTTCCAGTCCCTGGGTTATTTATTGGAGGTTCAGTGAGAACTGATGGGTTAAAGATGCTTTCTCTGCTCATTACCGTCTGAAAATATTATGTTTTTCATACAAGCAATTGTGTAGATGCCCCAGGGAAGCAGTGTGATTGGGCTAGGAGGGCGTATTTCTCTTCTGTGAGAACATTTTGGAAAGCTGCTGTTCTGTATTTCCATGTTGTTTATATTAGGTTATACATGAATGATAACACACAGATTTTTCTTCCCTCAGTACTTCATGAAACAATCTGTAGGAAGCATAGGAACATGCTGTTTTCAAGCATTAAAAATAGTCGCTCATTTAAATTAGAAACAAACAAAATAGTTTCTCTTACCCCCAGTAATTAACACTGGAGAATTAGCCTTGAGGTGAGCGCTGAGACTGCTTCTCAGTGCAATGGAAACCGGAGAGTAAATTCCAGCAAGCAGCCATTTTATATACAGTGGCAGCTAAAAAGACAGCTATTTCTGCTGTTTTTCTTGGAGTGAATGGGTCTTCACCGAAAGCCAACCTACCTGAAGCCAACTCTCTCTGCTAAGAGATGCTGTAGGTCCATGACCGCTGCTCTGAGCATCCACGCATGGCAGTGCTGGAAACAGCAGCTTTTTCAAGGGGGCCTGGAAAAAACAAAGGGAGCAAAATGAGATGTGGTTAGTTGTACTTAATTTTAGCTTCAACAAGATGTATCTTCCTGCAAGGGAAGGAGAAAATTCTGTGCCCTGCAAGGTTTTATTGCTTTGGTCATGTAGCTGTGATTACTCCATGGTCTGTGTGCTTAACGCTTTGGCTTGTGCTTGGTTTTAGCTGTCAGCCTGTCTGTAAACGGTTGCAAGCCATGTACTCTAATGCATGGTTTTTCTCACTGACCATCTAAACTTTATAGCCAGCATGATGAGAGTTTGTCTGGTGCTCCTTTGGATAAGAATCGTAGTCCAGCCACGCACGCTTCAGTGTAAAGCAGGTAAGTTGTTTTCCTTCCAACAACGGCAGTGTTCCAGGCAGTTTTACATCCAGGAATAAAACTGCACCTATCAGCAGAAACAAGGCAGCATAGAACATTGAGGGCAGCAGCCCTGGTCTCTGTCCTGGCACATCAAGAACCTTAACGTTGGCATTTTTTGTGAGCAACTCAACAAGGAACATTTTGGAGCAAGCAGTTCAGGGCAGTTGGTGTGGGGGTTTTCTAACTCTTCAGGAGCCCATTTCTCTAATGCCAAACACTTGCTTGAAAGTTGAAGAAACGGGCATTAAAAGCTGCCTGGGACATGGCAAATGAGGGAGGATGGACTCTGAAGCACTCCAGAAATGGAAGGGAGTAGATTGATAATTTCACTGCATTGCTATTTATATGCTAACATTTCTCCCCAGCACGAGATCTTCTTCATTTCCATAAGAGCTCCAGGAATCCCTTTTGCCTTGTCATTTTAAATTATCATTCTCATCCTTTCCATGTTTTCTTCCACTTATGCCTAATTCCTCTGTTCATCATGCTTTTTTTTCCTCTCACATATGTCTTCTTGTGGCTGTCAGGCTTCACGTAGTCAGCCCCCACATCATGCTGTTCTGCAAGACTGGGTCAATAAGAATGGATTGTTTGGCTGGTCACTTATCGACCCTGCTCAGTACAGATGCCCAATTCTCTAGGGGATCCAACTGAAAAGCCTGAATCCAATTAATAAGCCAAATGTAATGTGTTACTGTAATTATAAAGATGAAACCATTGTAAAAAAAAATAATAACTTTCTTAAGCTAAGTTTTAAGCAAAGTCTTATTTGATGAAGTTTTGGTTGTTATTTAAATGTATTTTTCAAATATCAGAAATGCTTTGAGAGAAACTGTTGAGAGAATATAATATAATATAATATAATATAATATAATATAATACAATATAATATAATATAATTTTATTATATTATTTATAATTTAATAGGATATAATATTTTTGTTTTCTTGTACTGCTCACTACATTATCTATAGGTATTGGCCTAAACAACTTTTTTAGGATTACTGCACTAAGAATTTCTTTGTTTTCTTCCTTACAGTTCAGGTTTTCCCACCTGTTAACTTCACCCTTACAGTCTCTGCATTAGCCCAAGTACTTCTAAGCTGGAAGCTAAGTCCTAATCAGGAACAAAAAAACTACACTATTAGATACGATGTGAAAATCTTAACTCCTGTGTTTGAAGAGGTAAGATAGAAATAAGTCCAGTGTGCTAAGAAGGCTGACTTCTTGTTGAGTGGGGAAGCAGAAGGTGTGATGTATGTGATGGTTTCAAGCAACCACGTAGTGAGGCACTCAGCTAAAAGCCTGTCCTTTGTAGACCACTCTTAGCAGATCCCTTAATTAAGCTTCTATCTTGTGTTGCTTCTTTCTTTCTTTCTTTCTTAATTTTCAAGTATGATACAATGAAGACTCACAGTCTCCAAACAGCTGTACTTCACAATGGTTTCTCGGCACATGTCCGCACGTTACTTTTCCATCAGGGTCTTCAGATGACGAGCGACTGGGTGACAGCAGAACTCCAGCCTCCACCGGGTAAGAAGAAATGAGAAAAAGGTCTGAATTTGTGTTCTGTACTGGTCTATGGAGTAGACATCAGAAGCTGAGAGGTTTAATACTGAATAATACAGCATTTCTCACTCTACCTGTTACAATGGTTTTACAAAATCATTTAATCCAGGCCTTTCTGTATGGCTCCACAGCCTGCTATACAATCTGAAGATGCAACATAGGTAACCCGTATAAAATATTCTAAACATTGCTTGCTAAAGCTGAGATAATCTACTCCCATCCACTCAAGGATGGCAAAACACTGCCTGAATCCCAAGGTGTACAGAAGGTACATCATGGTGCTGTGTGCTACAGCCTTACTTGGTGGTTTTTTGGAATCTCCATCCTTCCATAACTGGTAGAACTGCGCGATCAGTACCAGGACTGGACAAAACCTAGATGAAAATGGACAAAAGACTGTAGTCAAAATTGTCTTAGAAGTGCCAATTTCATGCAACTTCTGTAGTAAGTGTTTATTTTCTTCCTGTCTTATAATTCTGTGTTTCTGTAGGTGCTGAAAATACAGCTGTCACTGATCTGTCCTGTGTTACTCACTTCACCATTTCTAGCACTGTTTCTCTCCATTGCACTTGGCTTCCTGGTAAAGGGGCACCAGAAGATACTGAGTACTTTCTATTTTACAGGTTGGTGTCTTCTCCCATTTTACTCAACACAAAATTTTTAGAGAGCATTTCTCACAAATGTTTTAATTTAGGTATGAGACCTACATGGAAGAATGCCAACATTACATCAAAGACAAGTGGAACAGGAATACAGAGTGCAGGTTCTCAGTGACTCGTATTGTTCCCGGTGAGATTGATGAGCTCATTGTAATACACATTAATGGCTCCAGCAAGTATGCTGCAATCAAGCCTTTCCAGCAGTTGTTTAACCAAAATGCCATTGGTGAGTAGAAACAAGCAAATGAACAAACAGTTCAATGAATGAAGTCCAGCAGAACTGTAAAAGACTTGTGAGAGAATGTTGTCAATCCACAAAATACCTGCTGATCATTTGATTTTTTTTCCAGATTTCAGTAACTTTCCTGGTTAAAAAAGAAACAAAACGGTTTGAATCAGTCTATGATTAATTTCATGACTTTGCAAAGAGTAATTTAATAACCTTCTCCTTCAGTAATCCAGTTTTTCTGATCTTATAAGTGGATTTTTAAAGTTCTTTTCCTTTAATTATTTTGTGCAATACACCTATTCCTCTTTAATCTTCACATTTTCTGCCTAAAATGTGAAATAACTTCAGAAAGTATAGGCTGCATGTGAACACTTGATCAATTTATAAGCTGTTTCAATTGCTAGTATTTAAACTTCACTCTATATATAACTTACTGGTGTGATTTTCTTTTCATAGAGAAGGTGAATGTTCCCAGAAATGTCACTGTATTCTTAGAGCAAAATGATCTCGTGGCCACATGGGAGAAACCACTTTCTACTTTCCCTAAAGGATGTTTTGAATACGAATTTTACCTCACCAACTTGAAGTCAGGTAACAAGCAGGTAATTGCTTCTCTGGTGCCCCAGCATTACATTTTGCTCTTGACACTCACTGTCCTGTATGGATAAAGATTGACTTCATGCAACCTGGAGAAAAAGCCTTTGTATTCATAAACATGGCACACATTTAAGATCATTTAAATTAAAATCTGCTATCAGTGCATTTGTGAAACTATGGGCTGTTGGCGAAACTTGTGTCCCATTTGTGACTAGGGTTCAACAAAGCCAAAATCTCAGCAGTTTTCGTGTTTTATGTCCTTTTTGGATATCATTTACGCCTGCAACAAACCATCTCCAAGAGAGCTTGGAAAACAGAAAAACGAGAAGGTTACTCCCTTGTACTGTGTTCTGCCTTCAGAAGGATGATGGTGGACAGTTCTCAACATCCAGCATTAAGGGTCTTAAGGAAGAATCCAAAATAAAGCATATTTCACAAGATTTGCTCTGAAATACTGACACATTAGGAGAGGAATGGCACCTGTGAAGTCAGACAACTTTCTCCAAAGCAGTGTGTGATGTTCAATGCAAGTCTACTAAAGAAGCTTGTAAAAATTAAAAAAAAAAAAACAAACATGATTAATCTGTTTTCTAGATTTCCTGGTCTTAAATAATGTGTGACAGTATGGTATTGTTTTGTTAACAGGTATCAAAAACATATTCACATGACTTCAGATTACGGATTGATGTTACCTGCAGATACTCCATACAGATAAGAGCAAATCATTACATGTGTGCTGTAAATGGATTCTGGAGTGACTGGAGTGAAATCCTTTATGTTGGTAAGGATTGCATGCATCAGTCTTGTAATGAAGGAGTAATACATTGCTGGAAAGCACGTACTGCCCAAACCATCAGCATGTGCAACACTCCCTTAATGTCAATAGAAAACAGCAGAAGTAGATGCTCCAAGATGCTAATGCTGGAAGGTACTGTGAGAGGTCACCCCAGGATTACCTTACTGGAGCTACCTGAAATCTTAAAACAAACCAAACCACCTTTGGAATATGATCATTTGCCCCACTTCATTCTGTGTTTCCTACTGAACATAATTTTTTTCCGGGAGCAGCAGTTTTCTTATCATGGCACGTTATCAACTGTTTGTTCTTAGACATCCTGCTTTGCTGTTAACATCTTTTGAGTTTCTTCACTTCCTGGTTTTCACTAGAAAAAAAAGGCAAAAGAAAATCTACTGTACTTCTCCCTTCCCTCTGCAGCATTCTCTAGCTTTGCTAAAAATTGAAATCCAATTCTGAATCCTTTCCTTGGGCTGTGGTAATCAAACCCTGTGCAGTGCAGCCACGTGCTGCCAAAGCGGCGTTGTTAAAGCTCACCTTGATACCACCTTTCTCTGAGAGGTCATTTAGAAGTGCTGCAGTCAAACGAAATAGTCATGGCTGGTATGTGGGAGAACCCACTGCCAGGGCTCACGGTTTAACAGATGATTATGTCAAATCTGGGGCTGGAAGGTATATCTGTGCTGTCCCAGTTCTGCTTTCCCAGCAATTCTGAAGAGTCTGAGAGAAGCTCCCTGTCAACTGAAGCACTTCTGAAGCCATCTCTATCCTGCAGCATGATGGCAACTGGGGAACCAGGAAACATAATTGTTAATGACTCCTCTACTAAGAAGCAGCAAATACCAAATATGAGAAAATCATTTAGTTGTTTAATGAGACAAAAAGGAAATTAGTCTTCCTTTTTTTTTTTTTTAAAAAAAAAAAAAAAACCACAAAGACTAAAATCTCAAACGTATCCAAGAACAGGATCAACTTCTTCAGTTTATCTTAGGAAAGGGGATATTTAGAGGCTTGTTACAATCCATTGACCCAGCAGAGTTTACTCCATTAGTTGCTGGATTTCAGTACACATTTCAGCCATTCTGATCCACTCTGCTGCCAGCTTTCTGTGTGGCTCTCAGGATGGTTCCTTTATTCCCTCTCTGTCTCTCTTACATGTTGAAGACCAGCTGGATGAGGCTTTGAGCAACCTGGTCTAGTGACTGGCACCCCTACCCATGGCAAGGGATTGGTACTAGGAGGTCTTCAAAGTCTCTGGGGAGCACCATCAACCATAATATGGAAAAGACTTAGGACTCTTCTGGTTTTGGTTTGGGAAACAATGCTTCCCAGCCTTTATGATGGCAGCCTTCACAAGTTGTTTGCACTGGGTATAACCCAGCTGGGTTGACAGTAACACTCCTGACTTCTTGAAAGAAAAGTGACAGCACTGCAGACTAAATAAGCCATCCAGAATCAATAAATAAGCCATGTTTGCAGCTGGGGATTTCTGTCTCAGTGGCACAAAGGCCCAGGACACATTGATGCAAGCTCATGGCAGCACCCATGCCCTGCTCCCACTGCCTACTCTGAGACACCAGACTCAGCTCCTTGTTTCTTTGGAAGAAATCTGGCCCAAATTCAATACTGTGTTTTTTCTACAGCACCAATAAAACCAAGGTGTCTGCTGCTGGCCGATTTATGTCCTCTCAATTACCTGGTAATGGCAGTGCTGACATTTGATACATAGGACTGGTGGTTATCAGAAGCACACACGGACTCGGCAACCTTTTGAAAATGCAGTTCAATGTAAATGTTTTTGTTATATGGCATAATGTGGCACAAAGTAATGGTCCTGGTCACTAAGCATGCCTTTCTAAAATAAAAATGTTGACCTTGGTAGAAATACCTGTGTCTGCTCGCAGGCAGAGGCAGTAGAGAAATCCTCCCAGAGGAAATGCATCAGCAACAGCTCACAGGAAAAACTGCAGGTTTCAACATCTTTTTTACAGGCAAGTTTACGAAGGCAGAGAAATGCAGTTCCTGTGCAAAGGGTGAGCAGAAGTGAAGAGCAATTTAATGGAAAACAAACAGGTTGTGCCTGAGGCTACAAGCAAGCAGTGCCTCTGCTGCCTTGGGCATCTGGGGATGAGGTGTGACACAGGCTGGCATCCTGGCAGTGCTGCCGGGCCAGGTTGCTCTGCTTGGTGGCAGTGCAGTGAGAGAAGTGTATTGAGGAAGTCAGAATGTCAGCATAACAGAATCTATTCCTGAAGCTTTACATTTCATTTTTAATTTGAGATACCAAGTCGGCATAGTTTGCATGTTAAACTGTGATATGAATAGAAAACAGCCGATGAAACCTTTTGTAAAAGCATGCTTAAAATAACATCTGCACTAAAGCACATGTATTTTTTTTTCCTGATACTCAGGAGAAAACAAACAGGAGAATCTGATAGTCTGGAGTCTTGCTGTGCTTTGTGTATCCACATGCTGTACGGTCACGCTTATTGCTATAGTATGCAAATCGTAAGTATTAATTTCTTCTAAGTATTAATTTCTTCTAAGTATTAATTTCTTCTAAGTATTAATTTCTTCAGTGTACCTAAGTATTGGTGTTGAACAGGTCTGGGGGTCATTAAAAGCTTTGCTTAATTTTTGGAAGGGATGCTGAGTTTTGTATTCAAGCGTAATTACACAAAGCAAAAGTACTGAATAAGGAAGAATCAGCCTCATTAATTATCAACAATAATATTCAGCCAAACTGATGGGTTAAGAGGGTCATTCAATTTAATTTTAAAACAAAGAGAACCCCATATATCAAGAGAGAACATTTCCCTAAAAGGCTTTTTGTCCATCTCTCATTTCCTCACTTAAGTGGACGTTACAGAGTTTATGACTTCCAGAGGGGGATTCTGTCTTTAACCTCAGTAAAACTGATGAGACCATCTTTCATGGCCAAAACGTACACGCAGTCCATGATTTTCTCATTGGCCAGCACAGGTGCACACAATGTTCTACCCTGGGCAAGTAGTCTGTATGTCAACAGTGTGATATGTGCTCTGAAGAGGTAAAAATTCCAGTGGTCCTTTAAGCTTTCTGCTCCTTGTCACCCCTTGACAAGAACAAATGCATTCAAGTATTGGCTGTTGTGAGTTTTTAAGCTTATTTTTAAATACTGCAGAGGCTATGGATGCTAAAACAGCTTCCACATAGCCAAACTTCCAAGAACGTGCTGTAAAGAAAGCCAGCTGTGTTGGATTTCAGTAGCAGTGACTGGTCAGGCCATAAGTGATGAATGAAAGAATCCACGTAACTACAAGCTTTTTCCCTGAAACAAGCAGCAAGCAGCAGTTTTCTGCTTCACAATACACACAGTTCCCCTCAGTTTAAGTGCCATCCTCAACTCTGCTAATTTCTGATTAATTTCTGTAGTGCATTTTGAATTAGTGGTCAGCCTGATGTGTCCCCTGGCCACTTCTTTACCTCACTGTCCCTTTTTCTAGCCCACTGGCCCACTCTGGGAGGAGGCAGGAGGTGCATAAAGATGAAGCACAGCGGTTAGCCTGTATGTTTAATATCTGCAGATATTAAAAAAAGAGCAGTAGAACAGGTTCCCTATATCACAATTTCATTAATACTCCCAGTTTTTCCCGCTGTTGAAAATTCATGAAGTGTACCACGCAATTCAAGCCACGGAATCATTTGAAATTTCATGCAATTTAAAGACATTATAAGGAATTTCATTCTACTAAAGGCTTCTGTACATTTTTCTGTGATGCAAGCAGAGGTAAAGAACACAGCTAGAAGGAAAAGTAGCCTTTTGGAGAACCTTTTTGCTTACTTGCAGTAACAGATGAGGAAACTGTCTTGATAAAAAGCACAATTGAATGCTTTCCTAGTTTGCCCTTTGTCTTCATGAATGAGCATCCTCTACTCTTCCTCACCTCTGTCTCTGAACAACGCTCTCTCCTGGAGGAGATTCCCCAAGAGGATCCTGCATACCCTAAGATGCCCACCCTGCCCTGCCCTGTTCCCCTTCTTGTCTGCACCCCACACAGCCCATGGCCAGCAGCCCCCCAGCACCTGCTGCAGGGCCGTCATTTGGAACAGGTCACAGAGGATCTCAGGAGCCATGCCGTCAGTAAAGGCACTCTAGCAAAATGTGAAATCAAGAATTTTATCCGTCTCATCACGGAGGTTACAAGAGGGAAAAAGAACATATTCTCTTATTTCTGTTTATCTTTGGCCTTCTAAAATCCAGCCCGTGGGAAAGTAGCAAATTTTAGAAAGAAAGACACAGCGCAACATCTGAAGCAGAGTGAAGCTCGGAGGGGCCCACAGGGTGTTTTCAAAGCCTAATGGTCCAAGTGGTGCTAACAGCAAGGGCCGTGGTCTAAGCCATATAAAGGCAAACACAGATTAGTCTAGATTACTTTTTTGCGACAAAATATTTAATCACTCCACTTTTCAGCGTTCTGCAAAAAAAAAGACCAGGACCATACTGAGAGCATCACTGTAAGCACCACAGCACTGCCCCATTGCAAGGACCCTTGCACCTGAGGGGCGTGCAGCCACCACGAACCCGGCTGTGCTCCCACCTCAGTGCTGCTGGGCACTCGTGCGCCCCTCCTTAAGTGTTTCCAGTCCAGAAGTGATGTGTAACTTAATTGCTGACTCAATAAATGATTTGGGCACAGCTCCATCAAAATCTTTCATTGATAAACAGCACAACTACAAATGCACCAGCTCCGAAGAAAACCACACCTCCTTGGTTACGTTATGCAGCAGTAGTGTAAATCAAAACCATACTCAGACTGAGGTAAGAGCAGGTTGCACCCCTGCTGCTGTTTCCCTGAGCATACTGGGAAGGTCTTTACTGCTGTTTTCCCAAATTCTCCATCTTTCCTGGCAGCAGCCTTGCCCCACGTCCCTTTGGCTGAAGGTGAACTGAACTTGGGCACCCCGAGGCAGGTGGCAGCGGGTCACTCAGCCTTCCCTCAGCTCCTTGAGAACCATGTGCCGCTGGGGCTGTGGAACCAGTGTGGACAGAACTAAACTTATTTCTCCTCCTGGGAGGCCAGGACACAAAGGATTATTCTGGTCCTTCCAGATCCGGCCCCTGCTAGAAGCTGGGGGAAGAGGCAGAGCACAAACCAGTCCCTCTTTATGCCTACAGAAATGCCACCTCACAACAAAGGGCCTTTTCAGATCCCCCTGTTTCTGCTGAGCACAACTGATTATTTACTGTTCTGAGATCACTTTGCTCTTCGTGGTAGGAGCTGTGAAGATGGAGTGCCTGCACCAGGGTGCGCACATTCCTTTCTTGGCTGCATGCCTTCCCAAGCCCCGGTCCATGCACAGCAATGACAGACATCCCATAACTCGCTCAGTCAGATCTTGCTTTGCCAGCCTTGGTACTTCCCCTCCCTTCAGCAAATAATCAGTTCCCAATCAATGTCTCCTTAAAGGCAGCAGCCGCTCAGCCAGGAAGGTTTAGCTCCAAACTGATTGAAAATGCTTTGAGGAAGGGTGGGTGGGAGAGAGATGAGGATTTTTCCTTCTGTCTCAAAATGAAAGCTATGGAAAAGAGTAAGTTAGCAGCAGGAATTTATTTTAGACTCCCTGCTGAGGAGGAATAATAGGATAAAAGAAAACTTGACAGAAATCGGGAAGCTTTAGAAGGAAACTCAAAGTAACCAAAGCGCTTAACGAACCAGAGATCAGCCAGAGCTGCCACAGAACAAATGGGGCAGGGGAGCGGGGCTGGTTGCAGTGCCCAGGGCTCAGGTGCTGCAGGGCAGCCATGCCTCAGCCTCACCTCTGCTTCGTGGGCACCAGGCTGGTCCCCAGCAGGCTCTGCACGCTCCTCCTGAGCTAAGCCCTGTCACCTTCACGCTGGCCACGTTCCCATTAAAATAGGGCCCTGCTTGGACCTTGGCAGACAGAGCCTTTTAGTGGCTGTGTATTCTGTACTCTGAGCTGTGTCAGATGCAAGGAAACGGTTGCACTGCAGCTCTTGCTACCACAAATGTACAACTGCTTGGGCCACAATAAGGAATCACAGAATCACTAAGGTTGGAAAAGACACGTCGGATCATCCAGTCCGACCATCAACTCATCACCACTAAATGCAGCAGCTTACAGGCAACCCATGCAATTTCTTGCAGTTGCTCTCCTGCCAAGACACAGATTATGTCCAGAAACCACGATCTGAGCACAGGGCAGCCTGTCCTGAACTCCCAAACCGGGCTGCCCTCAGGCACAGCCCTGCGCTGCTCCCCCAGTCAGCACCCAGCAGTGCCCTCACAGCCCTTCACCTCTGTTTCCCACAGACAACACACGTGGAGCAAACTGTTTCCGCCCATTCCAACGCCCAGGATCAAGTTCAGAGATCCCTTTCCAAATCACTACGAGGTAAAGTCATATTTTAATCGCTTTTGGTTTTTCTTAAACAACAGAGGGAACACTTGTGTGCTGTCCCTCCAGCCCTGCATCCTGCGGCAGCAGCACGGCCAGGCACGGCGTGCCTTGGCAGGGACTGGAGCTCAGCTCCTGCAGAGCCGATTTGTTTTGGGAAACCGAACGGTGAGAGATGCTCGTGTCCTACTGTTAAGCTGGTTTTAAGCCTTATTATGTTTGCTGTCGCGTTCCCGGTAAATACATTTGCCTTACAGATAAGATAAAACTCCTCATTGTCTGCTCAAGAAAGCGCTGCTCACTAACTTGATTTTAATTTGTCCCCTCAGAATAGAGGTTTGATTTTCGGGGTATTATTCCATGGTCCGGTCAAGGAAACAGGCTTAAAAGATTAGCAAATGTTTGTTTTTAATCAAAGCCACGGGTGTAAAATAACACGACTTAGGGTATCACAAATAAGAATGTGAGAAACGGCAAATATTAACACCGCAGCCAGGAAATGGGAACGCACAGAGGCTGTTCTGTTCCCAGGGGCATCTCAGCGCTACCTTCAGTGCTGCTGTCCTTAAGGGAAGCTCAGGGTGAGCAGAAGGTCAGGGCACAGGGATATGAGACCTTGGAGCTGCTTGCTGTGAGCACTCCATTCCTAAATTAAAGCATACATTTGGTGAGGTGCTGGCGTTACTGCCGCTGTGGGCTACCCTGCAGCTCTCGATGGCTCGCTGGTTCAGTCGGTGCTGGAGCTCTGCTTGTTTTGCAGAGGGCATGCAGCTGCCCCAGCGAGACGTGGCTGGAGCCAGGCCTGGCCGAGGGCCTCCCCAGCAGCACTCTGCACGACGACGTCTTCTGAGGCAGCCGCACGTGAAGAACTGCTCGGCTGTGGTTCCAGCACTGTTTGTTGGTTCATTTAGAACAACTGCTGTGAGCGGTGTGGAAAGAGCACAGCGGTGCCAATGGCGAGGCGACAGCCCCAACCCACAGACGGTGGTGCAAGAGGTTACAGCGTAAAGGGAAAAAAAAAAATTAAAAAAGCAGCACTTTCCTGGCACGTTCTGATGCCTTTCCTCAACCCAATCTATAGAACACAGCCTGGGAACACAGCCCTCAGTTATGCATAGCTAAGGAAGTTTGCCAAGGAGCTCCCTGTGGTTTTACCAAGGCTTTTTGATACTAAAGGAGCTGGGCCCCTCCTCCATCTGTAATTCCAGCTGCCTTCAGGTGAGTTTGAACATCCAAGCCCAAGATTGCAGCTCATTCTTCTTACCCATCCAAGCAAGTTACCAGACCTGCCCCAAGCAAGCTCTGGTCTGCCCTCACCAGCTGCTCTGTTCTTTGCATCCTGCCCAAAGAGCCTCCTGCCCACCCGGCTGCCCCAAGCACGTAAGCATGGAATAGGAAGACAAAAAAACAACAAAACACTGAGCAATGAAGTTGTTTGGGAAGTGCCTAAACATAATGGAGCTCCCAGGTGCTAAAGACTAGAAATAATTATAACAAATGAGGCAGCTCTCATCTGGGTGAAATAGCATGGCTCCATCAAAATTAATGTAGCTCATTAATATAACAATGTTTGTGCCTCAAATGTCTCTACTGCTTGTGATTGGAATGGATTGGAGGTGCCCAGCTTTAACAGTCTGAAAATCAGTATTTCATTAGCAAAATCCTAAAAACGAGATGAAAGAATTCATTTACTGTAATGTATTTCTTTTATGTCACGGCTTCAAGTCCTCTAATAAATAAGATTTGTAAATATAATTTCACTCCCATTAATGGAAAGGTGCTGCAGAGATTAATGCAGTACGTTTCGGTGTAGTTTGCATTTGAGCTGTGCACTGTGACTGCTCTGCACTTGCAGCGAAAGCCTTCAGCTCTCAGGGCACTTGGACAGGTACCCACATTTCTGCTAAGAGCTTCAGAAGTGGCAGAGCAGCTTGGGATTTTCCATACTGCTGGTGGGGATGATGGGAAAACAACACAAACATTTGCAGTCTGTTGTTTCCCTTGCCTGGATTTCTGTGCTTTTTCCCCAGAGCCACACTCAGGTGCCCCCCACCAGGTGCCAAGCTCCCTACCTCCATCTGAGTGTCACCGCTTCTCCTTCCCCATGCAATGTTCAGCATCACGAGCCTTGCCTGTGCTGCTGCTTGGGAGCTGATGAAACTGCCTGACACGTGGCCGGGCTGAGTGCTGCACGGCCCTATGGTGGCACGAAGACATTAAAACATGAATTTTTAAATTACTGCTTAGGCTGCATTCCAATGAAACAGAAATCCTTTTGAAAACATGGCTATTTTCATTGTTTTAATAACTCTTTGCACATTTCCCATGGAAGATGGTGATTTTACAATTTCTTTCTAAAAAGTGAATCGCGTCCTTTTGGTTTTAAGCATTACTGATGGGCAAAGTGCGCTGGGTTCCTCTGAAAAACCAAAGGAAACACCCAAGATTTGCTCCAATCGCACAACTTACACTGCCACACTTAACACAGAAACACAAAACGTTGCCACGATCCACAAAGACAAGAAGGAAGCGATGCCTTACCTGAGGGGAAGGAAGCGTTTGTTTTGTTTCTGATCCTTTCTTATATCTTGGTGAGACTCAGAGATGCCCAAGCTGCACTGCAACCACACCAGCCTGCATGGAAGCTTTGAAAGTTCAGGACTACAGAAATAGCCGCTCTCACCCCAATAGATTTAACTCTGAAGCAGACCTGTCTGCCGCCCCCCCATGTGGGGAGGAGCCGGGTGGGCGCTGGGTGCTGACATTTGTCACTGTGGGTGCAAAGGGATGGAGGGGAGAAACGCTCCTGGCAGACAGGTATCTTTACAAATGACAGAATATTTATTAACAATACCTTTAAAAAAAGGTTACATCTGCTAGTTCACTGATAAATATCATTTACACTGGGGAGAAAACTACAGCTCTTTTTTTTTTTTTGTTCCATTTTTCTTGGTTTTGTGGTTTTTTTTCTTTTCTTTTCTTTTTTTTTTTTTTTTTTTTTTTTTTACATAGAAGTAACCATATCAAACTAAGAAAGAAACACAGCTTGAAATACTGACAATATTTCTCTGGTCAACACCCCTGACTTTTACACAAGTGGAATCCTGATTATGCGTTACTGAATAAATATATTTAGAAGGTCTAAAAGTTAACTGTATTATTTTGTAAGCAAAAAAGACAAGTTACAGGCAAATTCAAGCTATCAGGAAAAAATAACAGTAAACCACTGCTGCGCATTTAAACTTGAAAACTTTATAGAAAATTCCATTGCCTTGTACTAGCGTTATCCCATCTGAGTGAACGTACAAAAGTACCCCGTAGTAACAAACAGTCCTTCTCTGAAGAAGATGATTTTTGCTGTGGATATTGTCGCTTTCCGGCATGCCGCTGTTACGCCTCCGGGTTCCTCCGAGGGGTTCCAAGAGCTGTGGGCTCCCTCTTCCCACACCGCTGCCGGGCCCCGGCGTGTGCCAGAATGGGGCTGGAGAGGAGGATGACTATGGGACGAGGGAGGGAAGCGTTTGGGCAGCGCTGAGCCCGGCTGCGCTGCGTCTCGGAGCGCTGCTCTCGGTGTCCTTGGAACAACGTGAGCACGGGATGAGCTGGGTTTGCAGCAAGGCCCTCGGGGGACACCCACTGGTACCCGACATCTCCGCGCTACCTCCATTCCTTCCCAATTTAATGCTAATTATGATAAAGACAAAGCTATTTCAAGACAGTAAAAATGGAACCTTACTGCGTGGTGCCAGAATTTCAGCTACATGTCCTGTAGTCCGCAAACGACCAAAAGCTGCGTGTTTCGTTTCAAGATCGTAGCGTTCTTTCTGAGCATTTGGAGTGTGTCTCGCTGAATCCTCTGAATAACATGGAAAGTCTCGTGTGCTAACAGCACTGGGGTCACACAAGGATCGCCGCTCACTCTGCACCCAGTGGGAAGCAGTTCTGCCCCGCGGGGCCCTGTGACACCATACAGGAAAGTGGCGGCCAGCTGACTAAGAACAACGTGGAACTCTCGGTCAGAAAGGAAAAAATTCCAAACAATATTTTCGTGATAATGTTGTCCATAGCATTTTATAGCAGAGGAAAAATTAATATCTACATCGTATGTTAACTTTAAAAAATTCTATAAAACACTAAATATATAATAAAAAATATGCATATAAGGACATATGTAAACTGCTTTGGTAACATCGTATTACAGATGTTTTCAGTGCATTGCAGAGTTTCCAAGGAAACTTCAGACAAAGCTATATTTGCTTTGAGGAAGTACTGTATAATGCCATTCCTAAAGAAGCATAAACATTTTTCCAGTAGTAAGATGTACTCAAACCACAATATTACTTGGTACTGGGTGTCTTCGAAACAGCTAGCTAAATGTTGCTTATATTATAAACAAGAAGTCCTCCGTGTAATTTTTGTCATAAACTGGACCGAGCTGTGAGCGAGATCATTATCGTGCTGATGGCCGACAGTGTGCAGGCGTTGGAGGTCGAAGAGCTGCCTCCTCTTGCGTACGCATCTGAGCAGAGAGAGAAGGGAGATCAGGACAGCACTGCAAACCCTCAGCCCGCAGCCCTGCCCGGTCCCCATGCCCCACCACCACCCCATCTGCCCACTGAAATCCCCATTGCTGTTATGCTGAGGCCTCTCCCACGTTTCTCTTTATAATTCTGCTACTTTCAAGCTGTTATTTACGGCACCAGTCTGGCCCAATCCACATCCTACAGGACAATCCTAAAGGATCCTACAGGGATGCTCCCGCATGGAGCCAAATAGGAACTGGCGTGCGCTCCTGCTCTGCCGTGTCTGCTGATGAAATCCCTCTGCAGGGTTTGTATGGCCACAGCACACAACCAGGGGGAGATAATTCCAATCTCACCCATGGTTTTTCACATCGCTGTAATTTTAATGCCACATTCCTGCATTGCAGAGGCAGCTGATTTAATGCAGCTTATAAACGGCGGTATTATTAATGGAAGATGGGACATGGAGATTTTGCAAAAGCAATGTTGAGTAATAAAATACTCTCTTTTCTGTTTGTTCTTCTGCACAACCTCATTTCCCTAAATAAATATTTATGCATCCAACACAGAATGGAATATTGCCATATAGTAGCCTTATAAATTTAAAAGTCTCTGAACACTGCATTTTATATTTTGTTATAGTGAATTGCAGTGAAACAATATATTCAGTATATATGAGTACGGAAGTAGGAGAGCAGAAAGTGTGCAGAAATCTTAAACACAACCATAAGCACTTATGACAGCGTTTCCTCATATTTTAAACTTGGCTCAGGCTGGAGCCAGGACCCTGAGCTGGGCTGCTGCTGGATGCTGAATTTCAGCCCCCCCCAGGGCATGACACCCATGCTGGCTGCTCCTGGGGTGAAACGGAGCAGAGGGGCACCTGTTCCCCAGCCTTACTTGAGATCTTTGGGATCCGGATCTGCTCACTGCTGCTGCCATCACCCCCGTCGCTGAAGGGCTTTATCTCGATGATGTAGTCCTCGTCAAAGGGCAGGGAGAGTTCCACAGAGGTCCTGTTGGTTTCAATCACTGATGCGCTGCTCTGCCTGTTCCACCTGTACAGAACCTGTGGGAGAGCGATGAGGAAGCACTCATGAACAGCAGAAGCACTCATTGCTGTAGGAGTGTCTGGTCTGACCCCTGCTCTTCCCTTACCTTGAGTACCCAAAATGCACCCAGTGACATCCAGACACACAGTGTGGTCGCCAAGGTGCTGTCATCCTGACCCCAGCAGCCACTACTGGCCTCCCCAGGTAAACTACTTTTTAAATTCACCTTCTAAGAACTGGAAGTCCTATTACCTAGCATCATAAATTGTGGCATAATGCAGAAGATTTCCAGAAAAAAAATAAAAAGCTAGGCAGTGTTTTGCTGTGAGCCAGTAAGGAATGTGACTGTTATCCTAACCATAGTTACAAAAGGAATTTTTAGAAACCTGTGAGATAAGATTCTGCTTTTTCAAGGGTGATGAAAGTCTCTTTCGCCTGTTTCAACTGACTTCTTAATTTGCATTTCAGACCAAAAATACGTAGGAATGAGATGGTCTGAACTGCTGGGATTCACCTGGGGATTCTGACTGAAAGCCCCGAGAAATTCCTTACTTTTGATTTCTCAATAGAGTGCACCAAAGATACTTAGAAGTGAGGGCAGACATGAGAGCTGGCACAAGCGCACGAGTCTGATGCCCCCAAACTGTGGGCAGTGAACAGAACACAAAGTGTGCCCAGGTCCTTCATCGCTTCCAGCTCTGATGGAAACGCTCACATAGCCCGGCCCTGGAGGCACTTGCTGGCATTCGCTCACTGATGTCTTTTTTGGGCCAAATTAAACCCTTGTGGAAGGTGATGGAGCTGAAATCTTCCCAAAATTTCTCTCTGGTTAAATTAAACCCTATTAAAACTGCTACTAATGAGGATTCTCTTTCTTTTCTTTTGGCTTTGCTTTCCGAAGAAAATAGAGCTATTAAAAAAGCATTTTATTTATCTGCAATTAAGGAGCTGGCTACAGCCTCTGGAAGGTTTCCACCCAAGTTCTTACTGTAAACCCCAAACTCAATATGAGATCATGAACATTTCCACTGAAGCACCGTGCAAGAATGTGGGGACAGCCAAGGTTCCATCAGGTCTCCCTGCAGGTCCCGATGGAGGCTGTGCCTGGTCATGGTCCCACTGCCTGTGCTGGCACTCACCTTGTAGCCCTGCACTTCTGACTCATTATCCAGTGCTTTCA